TGATTTCAATACAATATTATTAGTATTATTATTATAAGATATCAGTTCGCTCTAAACTGTGTGTGAGTCTATTTTATGGTTGCAGCCACAGGGTTCCTCTGACTGGAGCTTAAAGGTGTGTCGGCAGGGGTTGGGCTTCCAGAGTGGGGTCAGGCAAGACAGGGAATCCAAAAATTACTAAGCGACCCCTGAGGGGGTAGTGCTATATACACTATTTCTACACATCTGTTAAAAATCTGTTAAAAAGTATTTATTAAAGCCATAAAAGTATTAAAAGTATACAACATATTACAAAAACATTTCCTTATAAATGCAAACATGTAGGCAATGGGGTTAATTTACTGAAACTGGAGAGTACATAATCTGGTGCAGCTCTGCAGAGAAACCAATCAGCTTCCAGTTTTTTTTTTCTTTTGTCAAAGCTTAATTGAACAAGCTGAAATTAGAAGCTGATTGGCTACCATGCACAGTTGCACCAGATTTTGCATTCTGCAGTTTTAGTAAAGGAATCCCAATGTTTCACAGCAATATATCATTATCACTCTTTATCTCTCACTCTCTCATTCTAACTCAACCCTACTTATTAACACTTGACTTCTTTGGTCGCATTAACTGGGTACCGATTTGTTAGGATACATTTTGTGGGTACCATAAAACCCGCTTCCCCTGGTGCTCTGAAACTTTATTAATGATCAAACATGGAATTCAGGGCCTGGGAACCACAAACCCACAGCATGCCCCCCTTGTGAAGAGAACCCAAAGAATTTTGAGAAGTGAAGACCCAAAGAATTTTGACAAAGTTCCCAAGAAAAGAGGAGAGAAAAAAGAGGAAGTGCATGCCTTTCACTATTAGGTATAGTGCTCCTATTCTACAGAGTGCTAACCAGACATTTGCATTCCCATATATGGGAGGAGACCTGCATTTGAGCACACCTTAAACTTATACAGATTCAGGCCAAAGGGTCAGTATCCCTCCATCCAAAAAGATGACCAAAAGTCCCACTTACATTGGAAACTAGAAGAAAATTATACCTTTACATTGATGGTCAATAGGAGCAATGCCACTTACATTAGTGGTCAGTAGGAAAGGTGTATACTTAAACTGGTGATCAACAGGAGTACTCCCCCCCACATTTGTGGTCAGTAAGAGAGTTGTCCCCTTACATTAATGGCCAGTAGGAGAGATGGCCCTTACATTGGTGGTCAGTAAGAACGATGTCTCCTTACGTTAATGGTCAGTAGAAGAGGTGCCCCATTACATTAGTGGTCAGTAAGAGCAGTGCCCCATTACATTGTTAGTCAGCAGGGGAGGTGCCCCCTTATGCTGGTGGTCAGTAGGAGAGGTGCCCCCTTACAATACTAATCATTAGCAGAGGTGCCCCCTGCTTTGGTGGTAAATTGGAGAGGTGCCCTCTTACATTGATGATCAGTAGGGGAAGTACCCCCTTACATTAATGATCAGTAGGAACAATGCCCTCTTAATAGTCAGTAGGAGAAGTACCCCCTTACATTAGTGGACAGTAGGAACAGTGCCCACTTGCATTGTTAGTCAGTATAAGATAGCATAAGATGGAGGTGCCATCTTATATTGGTGGTCAGTAGGGGGAGGTGCCCCCATTCATTACTGGTTAGTAGCAGAGGTGACCTCTTACATTCGTGGTCAGTAGGAGAGGTGCCCTCTTACATTCGTGGTCAGTAGGAGAGGTACCCCTTTACACTGGAAACCCCCCTTCAATAAGAGTGGTGCCCCTTACATTGCTGGTTGCTAGGAAAGGTTCTACTTCACTTTGATTGACAGTAGGAGAGGCATGCCATTAATTGCTGGCCACTGAAGTGCCTCTTATTAGGTGATGTTGGGACTGGAACAATGCAGGCAAGTGAGAAATCAATCCACCACTAATCAAGAAAACCCCTAGCAATCTCTTCCAAGCGTCACTCGATGGAATGTGACTGTTTTCAATGTGTGCGATGTAGTATACTGTTTTGATTATTAATGACCGACCATATCTGTAAGTGTTTTTTTTAAGTTAGCTATACACTAGTAGATTTTCAAACGCACATTTGTACAAATATTCATACCAACATTTGTGCCAAAATTCCTTGTCACATTTGAGACATTTGTACAATGTACAATTCTTTGACTTGATGAGTATTGTTCAAAAGTACTTCAAAATGTTTTATTGCATTAAATTTTAGAATTAATCTAACTTCCCAAACAAAAAACACATACACTGTTAGAAATGTGTTTCTTAAAAAAAAAGTTTCCATCCTGCTTCTTCAAATTTTCTCGTTAGATTAGAAATTCAGACATTCAGAAAATGAAAAATTTGCAACACAATTCTGCTAGTATATAGCCAGCTTAAGCTATACTTTTTATAAAGCTATCCATGGGCTCAAGCCAAATGATATTACCTAATTATGCCACCAGTCTTCTGTGGACAGCATTTCCTCAGTCTCCTCTCTCCTATAGATCAAACTGCAATATTGTAATCAGATAAAGGGGAACTTTGCTTGGCTTTCAAAAAATGAAAAGTCAGCAGCTACAAATACTGTAGTTGCTGTCTTTTAAGAAATAGAAACCCACTGGCCTGTGGAGTCCAGCTCTCTCTTCCTCAGAGCCAATTCTTCTCTGGGCTTCGGCTCTCCATGGCCAATGTCTTGGACATGGTTGCTTTCTGAAGTCTCACAGCCGGCTCCCCACTGCACAGCTCTGTGGGATCTGTCCTGCAGCCTCCTGGGACATGTGACGTGTCCCAGGAGGTTGTGGACGGGAGGGTGAGGCTGAGCCAAGTTGATGTTATTCTCATCTGTGTGAGAATTGTGGAAGTGGGAGCGATACTTGTCATAAAAAGGTACCCACGCCTATAAAAAAAACTAATTTGTTTGGGGGAGGGGGAATAAGCATTAGGGTCCTTTCACATGGGCGTTCTGTTTTTTTCATAAGTTCAGTTCAGTTTTTTAATATATGTGAATTTTACGGTATTCCTTAAATCATTCAATACAATAAGGCTAAAAATAGCATAAAGATACACTTCCCCCCAAAAAGTGTAAAAAACTGTGAATATGAATATGCTAATACCAATATTCCCAAAAGTATATATCACACAAAACACACAAACATACCTCAAATACCTTGAGGTATCATCTACAAAGCAGAGAGTGTGTCGGGATAGATGGTAATAGCGCATGGAGCAACCACGTCAGGCAGGTCAGCAGGGGGATCCCACAAGGATGATAGACCACTAGGTAGTCCCCAATAGGAGGGTCTCCTGATCTTAAGAGAAGTATATAGACCATGAAATAAATACACCCCTTCCCCAATAGAGGTAACAATTGTGATAAAGGTAAAAAAATGTGCTAACCTTCCAAAAATGACACTGCAAAATTTGTCATTCTTAAGATCAGGAGACCCTCCTTTCGGGGACTACCTAGTGGTCTATCATCCTTGTGGGATCCCCCTGCTGACCTGCCTGACACGTGGTTGCTCCATGCACTATTACCATCTATCTCAACACACTCTCTGCTTTGTAGCTGATACCTCAAGGTATTTATGGAATTATATAACCAACAACTAATAACATTATACTATGTTATATTATGTTATACTTACATTTAACCCTTCCTTTATGTAGTAACTCCTAAAGAAGCGATACTCTCGCGAAACATGTCGAGTAACTACAGAGTGATTACTATTATTGACATCTGATCTATGTCTTTTGATACTCTTACCGGGATTGGGGGTCTTGCATTCTTAGCGGAATAATCTGTATGTATTGCTATGTGATGGTCTACATTCAAATAATAAAGTGATTTTAAAGATATCTTTGCTGCAGTGCCTCTAAAGTTATCAATTGGTCTTTTTCATTTTTCTGTGGTTCATTTGATCCATTATTATGGGACGTGGCACATAGGAGCCTGTTATATGCCTTTACAGTTTGTCACTCTGTGTTGGGTATTTTTCTATGTCATTACTTAAAGTAAAACCACTTTAATGAATCACCAAAAATGTATTTTCAATTAATTAAGATAATGGCAAAGCATCCATAATAGAAGGTTCAGTATGACAATCTTACAATTAATTTAAAAAGGAATACCCCTTGATTATACAACATTTTCTGGAATACATTCAGGTAGGGTTTGATGGTCAGTCTGTGCTTCTCTATACAGTAGCATAGACTAACAGTGAGTAAAGTCATCATCTATTTACTAAGTTATGCAAAATATTGTTTTTATAATTTAAAGTGCTTTAGATACTGAAAAGGGCCATTGTATTCTTATATCAAATAGGTGAAGGAAATTTTATGAAAGGATAAAGTTTGGTGTTTCCAGCTGGCTGCAAATATACAGAACTGTTCTAACTAGACCTGGTTTTTCAAACCAAGCTCTGAGATTTCCATTTTAAAAAGACTAACCGTCCTTGTAGAAACTGGGCACTGAACATGAAATCCATTAGGAAATCTGAACTACCTGAGTATATTTCTTAAGTCTTCTGACAACAAGAACCATTAATGTTTTGTTGTCACAGTTTGTAAAATTTGTTCTTTGCAATTCTAAAAAGATGCAAAATTAGAACGTTGTACGTGTCATAGAACATTTAGCCATTTGGCCATTAATCAGAAAAACATTTGAATTCCTAAAACAGAACAAGTTCTATGTTAGCAGGTCAGAAACATCAACATTGGAGTACCCTGTGAGATATTACAGATCCGGGGTAACTTTCAACCTGGTTGTAGACAAGATTCAGTACATAGCGATAATTGCAGGATTTGAAAACGGAAGTCAAAATGAAGGACATATCAATGCACATCATATTTGCAATGAGTGACTGCTTGTCCTTAGTTCACAGTGTTCCATCCAGATATTAGAGGGTATGAAAGCACTAACATTCCACTTCTCTTATTTGCTCACTTTTGGACTATTAAAATGTAACTAAAGGCAAAACTTTTTTTTTTAGTTTTGGCTAGGGAGGAGAGGGATTAGAACAACCAGGGGCAGACTGGTCATTTGGAAACTCGGGCACTGCCCGAGGGCCCAAGGTCAGTAGGGGGCCCCATGAGATGCCCCTGGTACCTTTTTCATAGGCTTTTTTGAGTTTGGGCAAGGACACAGGGGCCCCATGATCCCCTATTGCCCAGGGGCCCCATGAGTTGTCATTCTGCCCCTGAGAACAACTGTCACTTTTTACTGTCGTCTGGACCCCTGTTAAGGGAGATTCACCCTCCTTTTTTGTCCTGTTTACCATTATCATTGAAAGTGAAAGTAAAATGAAATGTCAAATTTTGGGTTGACATCTGAACACTAATAGAGGGGAAATCTTCCAATGAGAATGCTAGTTCTGGTGACACACCAGGATTCTCTCACTTTAAAGGGATTTTCTCTCACTTCCTGTTTTGGCTATGGGACAGGAAGTGAAATCTCCTTAAGGCAGAGCTACACCCAAAAGGGGAAGTTCCACTTTAAGCCTTTGTCCCCCGCTCCCCATTAAGGATTGGCACCTTTGGGGAGCGGGTACCCGAATTTGACAGGTACCCACTCCCACTTCCGCTGCGATCACCTAGGTGATCAGAAGCGGAAGTTGTCCTCCCCTCTCCATCCCTGTAGTCTTCTGGTATACATGACAGGTCCCAGAGGACTACGGGGCCATTCACAAAGTGCAGCGCTTCTTGCACATGCGCATTGGGCACCTGGCTGTGAATCCACAAGCTGTCACAGCTGGGTGCCCATACTGAAGATGCCGGCACCAGGGAGAGAAGACGGCCAGTGAAACCAGCGGACCTCACCTCCGCTGGACCGAGGGACAGGTAAGTGGCTGTATTTTAAAAGTCAGCAGCTACAGTTTTTGTAGCTGCTGACTTTTATTTTTTTTTAAGTGGAACTCCTCTTTAATGGATATAGATGGCAAAAAAATGATGGGGGTTATAACTAGGGTTATAATAGAAAATAAACGAGTGTGCTGCATATAGTAACTAAGTAAACAATGCCTACCCCAAATGAAAAATGTAACAAAGTGAATCAAAAATAAATAAGTCCTCACAGCTGCTGCCTCCACAAACTGTTTCCAAACCAGTAAATAAATAAATAATCCAATAAGATGTGTGGCACTGCCTATCTAACATCCCGGTCACATCAAAGCCAATTTTGAAATCGTGAGACTTACAGATTTCAGTTGTGATTTGCAAGACATCTGACATAGATGTCTATGCAAATCGCAACAAAAGTAGTGCATGCACTACTGTAGAAATTTGTGCGAACCGCACCTATATGACCGCTCTAAAAGCGGACAATAGGGTGCGACTTGACATACGATTTGCAAGTCGCATGACATGCAAATCACATGCCAAGTCGCACCTGATGTGACCTACACAAAACTAGGTAAGTGTAAACGTTCCAAAAGCAACAAATGGTGAATGTACATAACTATAAACAAATAAATATATATAGACGTGAATAAAAAACAAACAAACAAAAACAACATCAAGCAATAAGATATGTTCAGATAGAAAAAAACATAGTCCAAAGTGAAAATCTGTGATAATAGTCTATTTTATGCACTGTAAGTCTTATAAGTGCTCAAAAATATAAAAATTCTTCATGCTCAAACCCACTGTGCTCTTAGGTGGCCTCTCAGTTCAAGATCAGACCACATAGATCCAATAACGCTTTTAATCGGCAGACTTTCAGCGCCAGATGCTCTGTCTGTTCACCTTTCCGATCCAGGTAAATATATCAGCCACAGATCTAGGTGCTCACATCAAATAGTACTTGCAAAGCCTTTGGATATGCTGTAGGCAAATGCAGACAAACCAGGGGCTGTCCAAATAGATTGGTGAAATTATTATCTATTTTGCAGATGCCACTATAGGTCCCTGTATGAAGTCATAATAGTAACAGTATGAACGCTTGTAAATCAAATATATAAAATTCGGCAGACTGTACAGTCAACAGGGAGGGCACTTTGGGAGGAGAGAAAGACTAGTGTTAGCAGGGGGGTCAGATATGTGCTGGGGGGTGCTTTGAAAGGGGACAGGGCTAGTGCTAGTGGTGGAGGTCTGATATGTGCTGGGGGGGTGCTTTGGGAGGGGAGAAGGCTAGTGCTAGCAGTGGGGCGGAGGGAGTTGGGTATGTGCTGGGGGGGAACTTTGGGAGGGGAGAGGACTAGTCCTAGCAGAAGGGGGATTATTGGGGGGTTCAGGTATGCGCTGGGGGATGCTTTGGGAGGGAAGAGGGCTTGTGCTAGAAGGAAGGGGCCGATTTCAAATCCAACCTACACTTCTAGCATAGGTCCTCTTCCCTACCAAAGCACCCCCCAGCACATATCCACTCCCCGCCCCCCCCCCCCCCATCTACAGAATATAATAAACTTTCTACAGACCTCAGATCAGTGTGTGTCCCTCCTCTCCCCTCCTCCTGTGTGAACAGAGCCGAGGAGGAGGCAGCTTCAGTCTGTTCTGCTGGGACTGAGATGGGCTGCCCATGGGGAGGGGAGACATTCAGGAGATAGAAGAGCGGGATACTGTGAAATGCAGAGCAGACTTGTCACCTTGTCACAGGTTAGCATGCCTCTGCCAACGGTCTGTTCTGGGTCTCAGGCAGACAAAAACCCGGAAAAAAAAAAAAAAAAACCCGGACAGGTGGCAACCCTAATTATAACCATCCCTCACTTTACCCAAAAAAAAAAGGTTTTTCTTTAGTTATGCTTCAAGCATTTGGTTAAGTCTGTTTGATAAGTTCAAGGAGCTTGTAATGTCCTGCATGCTCTGCCTGTCCTAGAAAATCTTCCTGTGGGCGGGGCTTAACACACCCCAGTGGGGACACTGATGCCTGCATGGCGCAGTCATGTGGATTCAGCATTGAGGTGGCACTTCAAACTCAGAAGCGAGCCAGATGGCTTGCACAGTTAACACTTTGTAGTCCGTGGCTATAATTTACACACTGTTGGCAATACTGCATTATGGACACAACTTCTGTTAGAGTTCATCCCTCCCTAGCTGTGCAGCATTTTTGAGTCAGTACCACGGAACATTTACCAGGCTCTACCAACTCAGCAGTTCCGCCACCTTACTCCCAGTAACATTGTTCCATATGTTACTAGCGGATAGAGGAAACACACTTCTTCATAGATCCATGCTTCTTCTCTCCCTGGAGCCCCACTTCATCTTCCACTATTACTCCTGGGCTAGGTCTCTAGGTGCTCTGTGCCACAAGATCGGTCCCAGTAGATGGGAAACCAGTCACTAGTAAAGGGGTCAAACATAACACCCCTTCACTACCAGAGAATCCGTCACCCCTGCCATGTCACCCGTTTCCTGGATGGTTGGATGCTTTAGCATGTGACACAAATATGGTAGTCATTAGCAATGGCAATTTAGCCTCCTTAGGATAGCTTCCCTGCTCATTAGATATTTGAACTGTATCTTCTCTAAACCTCTCCAGTCCCTTGTTGTAAGCCCTGTTCTTTTGATAAGTCATGCATGCACCCCTTTAGAGACAAACCAGATAGAACCAGAACCAAATAGATAAACAATACAAATCTTTAGTAAGGTAGTTAGATGAGACATTTGAGCAGTATTCGATAGCATCTTGAACACATTCTTAGTTCCCATGAATAGTGCCTCATAAAGTTGTTATACCTTCTTTAAGTAGTAAGTCCATAAAAATGTCTTTTTCAATGAAAGAGTGCATAATTGGCGGTGATCCATATGTGGTAATAATAATCCATAAGAATGGTCCAACATAGAGTAGCACAAGTCCGTATGAGTCCATAGACTTCCTACCACTCTGGGAACACCGACTGGGTTTGCCCCTCAGACTGACAGCATAACAGCTTACATTTTGGCATTCTTTCCCCTAGCCAGGGGCGGACTGACCATTCAAGCACTCGGGCACTGCCCGAGGGCCCGGGGTCAGTAGGGGGCCCCATGAAGTGCCCCTGGTACCTTTTATAGGCTTTTTTGGGTGTGCTTTGAGTGTGGGCAAGGACACAGGGGCCCCATGATCCCCTATTGCCCGGGGGCCCCATGAGTTGTCAGTCCACCCCTGCCCCTAGCCAACTTCCTCAAAATTCTAATGACCCATATATATATGATATGATCTGTAGGCGGTGTTAACCTTCTTGAAAAGAGCTGGAAAACCTGGCCAGTAGTGTTAGTCCTTCCCTCTCAGGAACCATTAACTCACAGGTCAACTAAGGACACAGTGTAATAGGCTTACATTGTAGCAGATGGCTTTTGTACACTGATACAGTGGAAATAACCAACCCAAAGCATAACTGAAGGAAAACCTTTACCACACAGAACATTTTAGAAGCACCTGCTTACATTCCATTAGAAATACTTGTTCCAATGGCAACTGTCTAAGAGAAGATATACATTACCAGTCTTATATTCAGTTTTGTACAAATGTTCAGGTTCCTCTTTTGCACTGAAAATGCTTACTCTGATTTAGTTGAAGTAAGATAGAGCCCACCTAATTTCCTGGCTGAGAATGTCCACCATTATCTAGACTTTCCTCCCCAGCTTTAGGCTAGGTTCACATATGTGCGGGTGGTGCCGCTGAGGATCCGCACAAAAATCAGTGCAGCCGCACCACCTGCACAGAGGAATGCTGACCCGTGGGCGGGTGCCATTAATTCTAATGGCACGCCACCCGCACTGGAAATTCGCAACCGTACTGGGAACTGAGGTTGCGGCCTGCGTTTTCAGAAGAAGTTCAGGGACTTCTTCCCTGCGTGTCCCAGGGCACAGGAGTCCATTCAAATGAATGGGCTCACGTGCCCATGCAAAACACGGACCACAGGAATGCGGATATGTGAACCAGGGGTTACTGTCCCTGGCGTGCCCCTTTCATTCATTGGATTTTAGTTTTTCCAATAATGGAGGCTAAGCATAAGTGTGGAAAATTTGAGTAAAATGAGTCTCATTGCTGGTGTTAGTGGCATTAACAGTAACCCCCAATGTTGGTGCCAGTAACCCCCAAAATTGGTGTCAGTGACAGTAATAGTAATGTACAACATTGGTGTTAGTGACAATAACAGTAACCTCCAACTTTGGTGTCAACGGCAGTAATAGTAATGCCCTACATTGGTGTCAGTGGTACTAAAAGTAACCCCCAACATTAGCGTCAATGGCAGTAATATTAACACTCAACCTTGGTGGTAGTGGCAGTAATAATAATACCCAACCTTGGTATCAGTGTCAAAACAGTATCCCCAACATTGGTGTCAGTGGCAATAAAAGTACTCCCCAGCATTGATGTTAGTGAGAAGAATAATAAATCCCAGCATTGGTGGTTAGTGATAGTAATATTAAAGCCTTCCCCTTTTCTTTGGTGGTCAGTGGAAATATTATTAACCCCCTTACAGAGAGAGTTTACATACAGTATGTATATTGTGATGCACTGCAATTAAAAATATGTTGGGCAGCAAGTGCAGAGCCTAGGTCAGATATTTTCAACCATGGTTCTTCCAGAGGTTGCTAGGGGTTTATTGAGTAGTGGTCGATTTATCTCCCATCTACAGTGACCACTGATGTTAAGGGGGCAATTTTTCACTGACATCTAATGTAAGGAGTAACTTTTACACTGATCACCAATGTGGAGAAGAGCCTTTTCTGTGTTTGGTATTAGGAACATGCATGTAAGAGGGTTGTAATTGAGCTAGTTAGGTGTTGTCCTGGACAGGAGGGTTAGAGTTAATGTTTTACCCAGGTCTTTTGCTTGGTGGGTTTCTTTGGGTCCAATCTATTGGACCTGTGATATAAAAGAGGGACAGTAGTCCAGAGCAGGGTGCCCTGAGCCCTAGGGTTGTGAAGAGAGAGTGTGAAGCTAATTTCTGGTTGCTTGTTGTGATGTAGGAGGTCATCTTGACCCGGGGTGCCCCTCTGAAGACACCAACTTTTGGGGAATGCCACTGATGGACCTTTTTATACATAACCTCTACCTTTGCAGGTATGCCGGGCAGCACATATTAGGATTAGGGATACAGGGACAAGAACTATTCTTATTAAGGACTTTGTATGCTCAGAGTTTTTCTTAAGTAAATCATTGAAATTTTGCTTTCTGCCTGTTCTGAAGTTATTTAAAGGAGCCTAATGAGTATCCAGCACCTTTCTACATTTTGTGGGTCACTAGCACATTGGGGTATGAAGACAGCAAATGGTTGCCATGTGTAATGGAAGCCTACAGTCAGTGAATGCAGTCTGTCCATAGCATGTGCCTGTTGCAGGTGGAATGGCCTCTAGCAGCGAGGGAGATGTTTTGGCACTACTTTTGCCAGCAGTGTTCACACCACAGGGGCCCCCATCCTGTACAGAAGCTCAAGAATTAAGTCAAGTGCACGTACGGAATTTGTGCATGGCAGGGTCTGTTCTGTTACCAAGAGAGGTAGTGGAAAAAGCTGGAGAAGTGGATGTGGACAAGGCTCAGTATGTCCCTCCAAATTGCAAGTCAACAGTGAGAGTGTACATTGCCATGGGGGCCCGAGGTTTAACTGGCAGCCATAAGGTCGAGTTTTTCTTATGGCGGACTCAGTCTTGTCCCTGGGTGTTGATGAAAACAACACAGAGTAAAGATACCCCATGTGTAAAGTAGAGCAATCCTGTCACAGGTGCCTAGCACAGCCCAGAAGAACCCACCCCAGGGTAGGCCTCCTATGTTATCCATACTTGGCACCCAACAAGGAGGGGGATATGGAGGAAGCACAACCCACCTACCCTTACATGTACACACACATATAAATTTGTAACCAATGCTTCTCCACACAGTAAGCCATAGAACATAGAATGGTTATATTTGGTATAGAGTTCTGCATGGCTAAAATGAGGTCATCTTAGTGATAATGATCACACACACAGTTGTAGAAAACTTAAAGCTGTAATTACCTGAGTTTTCCCATAAAGACAGCTGCAATTTACATCACTTGAATTCCCTTAGTTTTTAACTTTATTATGCATTGCACAGCTTCCTAGTAAATATGCTCAATAAAATGTGCTTCATGACAGCCAATAAACAGATGTTCATAGGACCTAAAAGCCATTTCAGCTTTATCTGATCTCTCCAGGTGAAGACCTGGCCATGAACCTTTTTTTGTGAGAATGCAGGAACTACTATTTGCTAAAGCAAACTTTCTACTGTCATCTTATTCTTTCTTTTTATGCAAATCTTACCAGACATATAGAGGTTATCATTCAGGCTTTTTAATAAGACAAGAGCATTGTGTAAACTATGACCAATAGTAACAGCAACCAATTGGAAATCATCTTTGTTCTAACTGCTCTAAAAGTGCCACTAAATGCAATAGCATTATAATAAAGCTGGGTACACACTCTAAGTTTTGAACACCAGCATGTTGAACAAAAAAAAAAACTTGACAGATCACTGCATTCTGACAGGGAGATTCCCTCCCACAACAGAATACAAAATACACTGATCAGTGCTCGCAGCCATTGGCTGCAAGTGCTAATTGGATGCTAGTGTTTCAGCATGTCCCTTTGACAAAAACTGGTCCTTAGACAGCGTTTCCCCAGCTTGAACCCAACTACTGGCATTCTTTATGAGAACGTAGATGAGGGCAGGCTATTACACAGCTATGGTGGTCCTCCTTGGTTGAGAAGAAGAAAAATATGAGAGGTGTCCACTTTGTGGTAGTGAGTAGGTACAACATCATTATTTTTTTTCTTATTACATGATGTCAGAATACATTTTAAAAGTATGTAAAGAATGTGTATGTCCAAGGCATTACTCAAATTTACCCCCCTAAACTCTCCCTTCAGAACATGTCCCAGCATTACTTGCTTTTCCTTTTAACTGTTCCTGTAGCAAAGAAAACCGTTTAATACTATCTGTGACATTAACACCAAGATTTGAAAACTCTAGCAGGGGCAGCTGCTGGGAGGCCAGTTACCACTGACATAGACACACACCCAGAACTACATCTCCCAAAAAGCCCTCTCCTTAAACAAAGTGTGTGGGTAGGCTGCTGGGAGTCAAGGAAGTATAATGGTTTTGCTGAGAAAAAAAAAACAATGTTTGCATGTGAAGAGGCAGAAAGGGACTGAGATAGGAGAAATTCTGAAGTACAGAAAGTAGGGCTTACAACACAGGTTTGGAGTTCAATCAACCAGCAGCAGTTATTTACATAGAGAGATCCTATGAGTAACATAATTTCCTATTTTCAGCTGTCAATTACAGTACTTCCTGTTGCAGGCTGAGAACACCTCCTCCCAATTAGCAGCAGTGTTGTCAGCCTGTCATATGCTCTCTTTCATTTGGCTGTTGGCCTGATAGACTTGATAGGCAGCTCACTACCAACTGAAGAAGTGCAAAACTGTTGCTAATTGCAGGTCTGTGCTTAGCGTTGTCTGCCTGCAACAGGAAGTGCCATATGTAGCACCCTCAAAGTCAGGGTATTAGGATGTTACTGTCAGGAATCCCAGGGCTCGCGGTGGTGCACGGGTCGGCGCATGCGCAGAACGCCGATGCGCATTAGCCGGTGGGCACTACGACATAGGCATCCGGGGCAACAGCGGCACCCGCACATGCGCACTCACGATCGCGGACACACGCCTGGCACCAATGACAGCGCAGAGCGCGCTATTTAAACCAGCCCTGTGCATACTCAAGTTGCCATATGGTCTTTGTTCCCTGCTCGTCTGTTCCTAAGAGATATACCTTGTTGCTGACCCTGCTTGATCCTGATCCCTGTTGATGGTCTCCTGCTCTGACCTCTGGCTCGTTTGACTACTCTTCTGCCTACTCCTAATTACTTGACCTCCTGTTGCTGAACTTGGCTTGTGACCCGACTACTCTCTGTCTGCTGCTCTGTATCGTTCTGCCTCCGTTGTTACCGACCTGGCCTGTCTGATTACACTATACTTGCACTGTCATCCATCCATCCATCCTGCACGGATCCAGTCACTACTGCCCGGGCCTGCCAGCCTCTTCACATCAGGCTCTCTTCCATTACATACCTCCGGCGGTTCCATCTACCACAGTTGGGTGTACTCAGGGACCTTGACCTGGTTTCAGTCTGCTCCAAGTCCAACCCCACCATCAGGGGCTCTGGTGAA